AATCCTTCTGACCCCAGAGTGGCTGGTGAGCTGGGTCTCTAGGGTGCCATGGGTGAAGTGGGGCAGCTGGGCTTCCTGGGAACTCCCTACCCTGCTGTCTTTCCCCAGGGCTTGAGACCATCTCTACAGCCACAGGGCGGCAGCTGCTGGTGTCTGGGTGGTGGGGTATGGTCCGCCATCCCAACTACCTTGGAGACCTCATCATGGCTCTGGCTTGGTCCTTACCCTGCGGTGAGTGGCCCACATGGATATGGGCAGGGACATGTGAGGGAAGAGGCGGCTCAGTGACCACAGGATGCCTAGTTTGGGTATGCACTGATGCGAGAGCGCTGGGGATGGACCCAGTGTGTGGCTGGGGCACACCTACGTGCCAACCTAGTACCGTTTGCCTTGCTGCAAACCCCGGAGCTTTCGCTGCTGAGCCCTGAGGCCCACATGAACAATTAGGGGTGGAAACGTTTGTGAGCCGAGGAGTGGGGGTAGGGAGCTGGCAGGGTGGTCACAGATCCTCCCTCCCTGCAGGCGTGTCACACCTGCTGCCCTACTTCTACCTCCTTTACTTCACCGCGCTGCTGGTGCACCGTGAAGCCCGGGATGAACGGCAGTGCCTGCAGAAGTACGGCCTGGCCTGGCACGAATACTGCCGGCGTGTGCCTTACCGCATCATGCCCTACATCTACTGAAGCGGCTCCACCACCCCAGGTGGGGGCATGTGCCCACTCATCCACCAGCACACCCAGGACCAGGAGCCTGGGCACACACGAGACTCAGGGGCTTGCACCCCACCCAGCCCTGAGAATGAACAGCCTCAGAGAAAAGGTGGTTTAGAGCAAGGAAAAAATGAAACAAGTGACCAAAATCGGAGATGCTCTTCCTCCTTTGGATAAACACTGGGAACCCTTGGTGCACTTCTCTGCCATTCTGGAGCTAGGGTGTTTAGGACTGGCTGGGTCAGCACTGATCAGGGAGAAGCTGAGCAATGGCTGGTGAGCCCAGTGGGTCAACAGCTGTCCCTTAGAAACAGGCACTGTCAACAGGGCTGACCAGTCACAGCTTTATTAATGACAAAGGTCCCTAGTTCAGCCAGGAAGCTCCTCGATGAGAGTCCTTGGGGCAGGTGGCACGGAGCCTCCCCAAAGCCGCTCCAGCTCCCCAGTGAGGGCAGCCACCTCCTGCGCTGCCATAGCATGGGCTTGGTGAGCCCTGGCGCAGTCTAGAGCCAGCGGTGTGAGGGCCGCCTCATTTTCGTTGGTCCAGGCCAGGAGGAACTGGCACTTCTTCCGGGCCCGGTAAAGGTGATCTCGCTCTTCTCTAGCCACGGCCTGTTTCCGGGCACGGCCCAGGGTCTGTGCCAGGTGTCCCAGTGCTGCCAGTGTGTAGCCTTTCTGGTTGGCCATGCCCTCGCCCAGCAGGATGCGGGCGACCTCGTGCATAGCCCCTCGTGTGCCCAGGGGCCCAGGCGGGTGCTCGCCCGCTTCCAGCACGTGGGCTGCGGCCTGCAGGGCTTCTTCCGCAGAGGCGAAGACTTGCTGGGCACCCAGGGCTCCGGAAACGCCGAGCAGTGTGGCACAGAAGTCAGAGAGCAGTGCGTCGTCACCGCCGTGATACAGGGCAAGAGTGTGCGCGTAGGCGAACAGCACGTTGGGCAGCTGGAAGCGCACGAGCGGCGAGAGTGGGCCGCGGCTCAGGCTGACGAGCGCGGGGATGTGGCTGGGCACGGCGGGCATAAAGGTCCCCGGGGCATGTCCAAGAACCCGCTCGGCGACCACAGGCTCTGCGGCGGAGGCAACTTCCACGGATTCCCGCGGGGTCCTCGCAGGGTCAGGCTCCAATTCCGCGGCATCACTGCCCGGGGCATCATCCAGCTCCTCTAGGAGCGGCGGTACGGATCCGCGGTTCCACCACCAAGGCCGCCATGGAGGCAGCAGCCGTCCGGCCTCACCGCGGCTCAGCAGCCGCTCGAAGGCTGCTTTTTCGGCCGGTGCCAGCCGCTCCCAGAGTCCCGAGAGGCCGCCGGGCGCCGCGCCGGGGCTGAGGCCTGCTTCTCCAGGCTGGTCCTCGGTTTCGCGTTGCTGACGCAGCCGGCGTAGGGCGCTCGCCAGGCGGCTGGGCGAGGCGCTGCGGCCGCGGAGCTCTCCCAGCACCTGGTCACGGTAGAAGTTTTCTGCGCAGGTGCCATGCGTCCGGTAGCAGCGCAGCGAGCAGTACGGCGCATTACAGCGAGGGCAGGTGTAACGCGCGGGTTGGCCCTCCCCCGCCGGGCAGAAGTCACAGGGCCTGGCCGGCTCCATGGAAACTGGCGCCACGACCTACCTGCGAATGCAAGCCGGCGGTAGTTCGAAACTTCCGGGACTTCTCTGATTACTTCCGGTTTACCGCGGGGCCGACGGCGCGCATTGGTTTCGCAAAGCTCCCAAGGATTCTCGGCAATTTCCGCCCATGCCCGGAAGCCTAACCCCACCCCTTTCCCAAGCAGGGCGAGGGCGGGCCCAGAAACCAGCAGTCAGGTACGAGCCCCGCCCTGTACGATGATGCAAGGAGCGGAAAAATGGGTCTGACCAGCGGTCCGCCGGTGCCACGTCGCCCCCTAGTGGTCACACCAAAACGTTGTCTGATAGACTAAACAGAAAACCCTCTTTGGCACTATAATGCGCTGTGGCAGAAATCCGTATTTGCAAAGCACCTACCGTGGGCCACTAATTGTGTCAAGCCTACGGGAGGTGATGCATCCCTGCGCTGGAGAAGCAGCCATTCCACTAGGGGACACAAACAAAAGGGCAATTGGAGCCGGGCGCTGTGGCTCACGCCTGTAATCCCAGCATTTCGGGAGGCCGAGGCAGGCAGATCACCTGAGGTCAGGAGTTTGAGACCAGCCTGACCAACATGAAGAAACCCCGTCTTTACTAAAAATACAAATATTAGCTGGGCGTGAGGGGTGGGTGCCTGTAGTCCCAGCTACTCAGGAGGCAGGGGAATCACTTGAACCCAGGAGGCTGAGGTTGCACTGAGCCAAGATCATGCCACAGCACTCCAGCCTGGGAGCCTGGGCCAGAGAAAGAAACTCCACCTCAAAAAAAAAAAAAAAAAAAGGCAGTTGGGGCCGCCTAGCCTGCATAGCCTGGATGTGTTTCCCCTGTTCAGCAGAAAACAGTATTTAAGAAATATCTGAGCTCCTATTTTTTTCCTCCAAACCCGCCTTTTCATTAAATACTACTATTCATCCATCTTAATATTAAGTGCAGGCCCCATTCCAGGTGCCAAGAACAGAACACAGATCAAAGGGAGTGAGGTGGGGTGGGGGGTCCCTGTCCTAATAGAGCTGTCTTGTGGTAGAGTGGGGTTGTGACATACCAAACTGTGAACCCGTTCTTTGCATTCCCACTACTACTGGTGGTCTGAGCCTCCTGCCCTTCACCTGGATGACAATACATTAAGTGTTTTTCTTTTCTTGCCAGCCCTCCAGAAAAATCTGCCAGAGAAATCAGATCACATCCATCTCTTGCTCAAAACCCTTCTGTGACCCTCCATTGCACTTGAACTCAAACCCAAACCCCTCTCCACGGCTAACAAGGTCTTGCAGGATCTGCTACCCATCCCTAGACATCACCTCTTCCCCAGTTTTCATACAGTCCTTTTGGCTTGAAATATTCCCCTACCTGATCACTTGATTGGTTCATCTCAGGTCTCACACGTGTCATTGAAACAGGCCCTCTAGGCTGGACACAATGGCTGATGCCCATAATCTCAACACTTTGGGAAGCCAAGGTGAGGGGGTTCAAGACCTAGTTCAAGACCAGCCTAATCAACATAGCAAAACGCTGTCTCTACAAAATGTACAAATAATTAGCCAGGTGTGGTGGTGCATACCTGTAGTCCTCAGCTACTTGGGAGACTGAGGTGGGAGGATCACCCAAGCCCAGGAGTTGGAAGCTGCAGTAAGCCATGATTGTGCCACTGCACTCCAGCCTGGATGACAGTGAGACCTTGTCTCAAACAAAAACAAAAACAAAAAAAAAGGCCCTGACTGGGATGCTATTTTATCTGTCCATATCCTCCCCCTTTCTAAACTGCTAGAAGGCAGAAGTCATGTCTTTAACACCACGGAGACAAAAATAGCCAATATTCACAAATTTACTATAAGCCAAATATTGATCTACATCCTTTATTTAATCCTCACAGCAGCTATGGAGATGATGGCAGAGATTAAATAAGTAGTTAGTTCAAAGCCCAGCCACCCAGTAAATGAAGCAGGAAAAAAAGAAGGTCCAATCTCAGGCAGTCAAAATTCCACAGCCCAAGAGCTTTACCCTGTGGGATGCTATTTTCTAAGATGTGGCAGGTCCAGAAACTTTAGCTGAATGAGTGAGTAGGGTATGGAAGTGCTGGGAGACTCAGGTGCCAGAAGGGAACCTTGAATCAGCCCCAGAGGTACTCCACTTTTGGGATCATTTACACCACGATATTCAATGACAGATGTGATTAGGTCAGCAAGGCCGGCCAGCCAGATTTCCCATCACAGATGTGATTCAGTTAGCAAAGGCCGGCCAGCAGACATCTGATCACAGATGCAATTAGGTTAGCAAGACCAGCCAGATTCCTGCCCTGGACCCTAAGGCCACAGCTAGTCCCAAGTTCAGGGAATGGCCAGATTCATCTTCTATACAAACCTCTTCTCCCACCCCTCTCTTCCATTGCTGCCTCCATAACAAACCTCTCACAATTATTCCTGCTACCTTCTCTGTTTAGAAGATGAAAAAGAATAACTTGGGAGGACTGATCAAGTTACTTACGATGGGGAATAACCCCAATTCTCTATCTGAAGCACCAGGATCTGTGGCTATTGCTTCTCCACAGGAAACTTTTCTGTGAAGGAACGCTAGTTTACCATTTCGTCCCCCATTATCAAGGGCCTCTGCCTTACTGTTCTTCTAGGGGAAATACCACCAATCTGAGAAGCCACACCTCTCCCTGATGCATTGCAAATAAAGATCCAACAATGCGATGACTGAACTAAGTGGCTTTTTTTAATTAGAGAAAGCCAGAATTACAAAGGACTTAAGAGTTGGCATTGGGGCCCTTCTTCTTGCCAAAGGTGGGCACAACGTTGACAAAGCGCCGGTTGTACTGCATCCGCCTCTTAGCCCGGCCTGTCTTCTTCTTCTTCTTCTCCTGTTTGGCCACCTGGAAAAGGGAGGGCCCTGGTTCCTGTATTCCTTGCCTAGCATCCCTTCCTCAGACTCATCTCCAGGGAGGAGAAGGCAAATGAGGTAAGAGCCCAGGATCTTGGATTAGCTCTGACAGGAAAAGACAAAGTCCAAACACCACCACCACTAATACTCTCTCACTCACCTTAGGAGTCTGACCTCTCACTTTCCCAGCACGGGCCAGGGAACCATGGACTTTACCTGTAGTGGGAAAGGAAGGCAGCAGCAGGTTAAGAGCAAGAAGGTGCCACCCAGCAGCACCCCTCTTTCCTCAATTCAAGCTTTAAAGAGAAGCTGGGCCCAACAGGTAATGAGAACAAAGTTGCAGATATTTAATCCTGAAATCTGAAGTTTCATTTAAGGATTTTCCAGCTCCTAACTTTATAGAGCACTTTGGGGGCTCTGATCTGACCTAATTTTAGTGAGGAAGCTTATAGCCAGACAAGGATCCTGTATGTGACTGAAATACAACTTCACTCTGGCTCAGTCTCGCATGGATGTCTGTGTTCAATCTGAGGCACGTAAACAGGAAGAATCACTGTGAACTGACGATACAGGGAAGAACTCTATATATTACCACAGATGCGACGACACTCAACTCCAGGACCATGCCCCCACACCCATAGACGCGTACAGGTAGTTCAAAAACATTCCTCTCTCACTCACCTCCGAGCATTCGGCCTGCTACTTCCAGGGTGGTCAGGGCCTCCACCCCGCACTGGCCCAGGGTGGCCTCATCCTCCAGGGGCGTGCCTGCCAGGAGGACGACTTGATCTTCCGGGGCAATGCCCTCCAGTGAGGCTACATGAGCCTACAGGGAAAGATAAGGCTCGTAAGAGTTCCCTCGGTCCCCGAAAGTGAAGAGCACAAGAAAATGGAATCCAGGGCGCACCAAACAGCCCTACCTTAATCTGGGCGACCGTCTCCTGGCCAGTCACCTCGAGGGTGTGTAGCTGTTGGGCGCGGACGAAGAGCTGCATGTTGGCGACTGAGTAAAGAAAGACGGCTTGTAAGAGAAGCGAAGAAATGCTCTGGGACAAAGGAGGTTTGAGAATGGAAAGCGGCCCAGAAACGATCGCGACGGGATGGAGGTGGTCGCGGAGACTCACGTGGGGAAGGCCAGGCCTGCCAAGAAGTTCGGATAGGAACTGGAGCAGAACCACAGAGCAGGTCCCGTTCTTCAGTTTACCCCGCTCCCTCTGACCCGGCAGCCAACTTGCTATGAAGCCCTTCGGATCCAGCCAAGGCCCTAGTCTTACCTGAACCGCGGTGTCAGCTGCCGCTACCGTGAAGATGGAGTCGAGAAAGAGGAAGGAGCGAGGGCGCGCACGTACAGATCACCGGTTGAGCGTCGCGTCACTGCTGAGCGACCGCGGGGAGCCCTGGTATTTGTACCGCCCAAGGCGGCACTAGCTCCGCCCCTTTACGCTGGCGCAGGCGTTTTTCCGTCCCAGGCAGCGCGCCCAGGAAGGGGCGGGACCAGACAGTTGCACGCGCAGACGGCTGGCGTAACGGGTCAAGATGGCAGCTACCAAGTTTTGGGTTTTGCTGCAGGGGTGGAGAACCGGCGTCCAGCGGAGCTGCGGGCTACGGCTGTTGGTGAGAGTGCTGAGCCTGGAGCTGAGGGCATCGCGTGTCTGAGGCTCATTGTTGATCATTGTAACTCTGAAAACTAAGGCATTCCTACTTGGGGCCTTAGTTTTGCCGTTTACGATCTGGAGAACTTGTCTCGAGTGTAGATATAGGAACGAGAGGGAAAGTGGCAGAGATTGGAGTGCTCTTTGGGAGCCGTGTGTGGGTTAGATTCTGGCTGCAGGACATCCCAAGTTAGTCAGGACTGAGAGGAGCTGCACATCGACTCTAGTAGCTGCCCAGTTTTTCGAAAGCGAAATCACAGAGCAGGCGCTGGCACCAAATCATTGGCGACGCTTTTGAAGGGAGCGCAGAGCTGCTGATATTCAGCTACTTCATCCTACTTCCCTGCTCTTGTAACCCCAAGCCTGTCAGAACTTAGGGATATCTGTCCAAGAAGGATCTTTATGCTGGAGGACGGGAAGGCAGACTCCAGGCTGTGACCTTAAGTAGAGAGTTTACAATTATTTGTTAGTGTTGGCCTTTCCTGGCTGTAAAAAAGGTGTAATAAAATACCTGATCAGGCACGTTATTAGAATTAAGTGAAGGCCAGTGCCCGTAAAGCACTTAACACAGTGCCTGGCAATGTCTATATGAGGCCAAAACTTTTCAGATAAGGGGCGGGGTCCTAGCATATGAGTGTGCGTGGGGAATTATGATTGCCTTAAGAATTAAGGCAATCATTAAATTCAACACCACTATATCCAATCACAGATGTGATTATGTTAGCAAGGCCAGCCAGGCAATCATGGAGGTACAAACAAGGCCACCCTGCCAATGTAATAATAATATTTATTTCTAAAACCGAGGCAGAAAGTTAAGCCTTAAATTTCTGAAGGCTTGATTGGCTTTTCAGAAGCGTACACATACTCTTGAATCCCACAGAAATCCTAAGAGATGCAGACTGTTCACAGTATCTGAGCTTCGTTTCCATCCCATCTGTACCCTTCACCATGGAAAGCTAAAGACCGGTGCTATCTTATGTCAACCTAAATAACAGACTCTAAAAGAAAATGGTATTTATTTGGGAATGGGTGTAGACTATGTGCTTATCAGGGAGGTAAAAGAAGACAAAGAGTTTTAAAGGAAACATCGGCTGGGCATGGTGGCTCTCACACCTGTAATCCCAGCACTTTGGGAGGCCGAGGTGCGCAGATCACCTGAGGTCAGGAGTTCGAGACCAGTCTGGCCAACATGGGAAAACCCCATCTGTAATAAAAATACACAAATTAGCTGGGTGTGGTGGCAGGCACCTGTCATCCCAGCTACTCCAGAGGCTGAGGCAGAACAATCGCTTGAATCTGGGAGCAGGGTTGCAGTGAGCTGAGATTACACCACTGCACTCCAGCCTGGGTGACAGAGTGAGACTCCATCTCAAATAAATAAAAATAAATAAAAGGAAAGCAAAAATGAATGTTGTATAATTGTTTTGGAAAAAAAAAAAAGTTTTGAGATAGTTATCTTTGGCTACAAGGATGAATAACAAGGGTGGTGCCAGTTCAAGATTGGACAGGCAGTTGGACAGATGTCCTTGCAGACATTTTTTTGTTTTGAGACAGAGTCTCACTCTCTTGCCAGGCTGGAGTGCAGTGGCACAGTCTCAGCTCACTGCAATCTCCACCCACTGGGTTCAAGCGATTCTCCTGCCCTGCCTCAGCCTCCTTAGTAGCTGGGATTACAGGCATGCGCTACCATGCCTGGCTAATTTTTGTATTTTTAGTAGAGATGGGATTTGGCCATGCTGGTCTCGGAGTCCTGACCTCAGGTGATTTGCCTGCCTCTGCCTCCCAAATTGCTGGGATTACAGGTGTGAGCCACTGTGCCCGGCAGAAATTTTTTTGTGTGTAAGGCTGTGGTAGCCTTTGTGCAAGGCTGTAGTTTTTGCAGTCTTTTGTGATAGTTCTTTTTAAGTATTTGTGCACAAGAACTCTCTTCATGGCCCTCCTAGCTCTGTTTGTTGGGTTTTTAACCCAAGTGACTCTATTTTGATTCTGATAACTTTCACACAGATCACCCAGCCTTTTATTTCTGCCATTCTCTCTACCTGTAATGTTTCCATTCTCTACTTACTGAAGTTATGCCATCCTATGTTGGGAAGGCTAATGGAGAAATGGGTTTTTTGTTTTGCTTCAGAGCCAGACCCAGGGTCCTCCGGATTACCCCAGCTTTGTGGAGTCTGTGGATGAATACCAGTTTGTGGAGCGCCTTTTACCAGCTACCAGGATCCCAGTTCCCCCAAAGCATGAACATTACCCTACACCTAGTGGTTGGCAGCCTCCCAGAGGTGAGCTGGGTGGTTAGGGATGGTTTGAAGGCTTCATGGAGCATCCTCCTCTCCAGAGGTTGGCCTCCCCCATGAGGTGCCAGATCTCCAGTGGATTCAGAACTTGTTTTGACATCCCTCTGGGTTAAATCTCTCTCATGCCCAAGGAAGAGCCCTCTGTTTCACTGGTACTCATCCATCCACACTACTGGGACTGAGTCTTCCCCATGTGGGGAAAGTTTTCTCTCAACAGAGAGAAAACCCAAGAGCTTGGACCTTCTTTCCCCCTAGCAGACTGTGTACTGTAATTAAGAACATAGTTTGGCCGGGCGCGGTGGCTCAAGCCTGTAATCCCAGCACTGCCGGAGGCCGAGGCGGGTGGATCACAAGGTCAAGAGATCAAGACCATCCTGGTCAACATGGTGAAACCCCGTCTCTACTAAAAATACAAAAAATTAGCTGGGCATGGTGGCGCGTGCCTGTAATCCCAGCGACTCAGGAGGCAGGGGCAGGAGAATTGCCTGAACCCGGGAGGCGGAGGTTGCGGTGAGCCGAGATCGCGCCATTGCACTCCAGCCTGGGTAACAAGAGCGAAACTCCGTCTCAAAAAAAAAAAAAAAAAAAAAAAAAAAAAAAAGAACAGAGTTTGGAGTCAGGCAGTTCTGGGTTTGAATTTGGCTTTATTTACTGTTGGTGTTATCTTAAATTAGTCACTTAGCTTGACCCAACCTGTTTTAGCAAAATGGAGATAATTGCTCAGTTCACAGAGCCCTTGGTGCAGAGCCCAGCATATGGTAGGTAAATCCTATGCTGTAGTGCTTGTAAATCCCAATCTCTTTGTTCCAGAGATTGATTTCACCCTCCCTGACCCAGTGGAGAAGGGCAAGGATTGGCCCAGAGGGGGACCCAAAGATCTGGGGAGGCATGTCCCTGACTTCATTTTTTCTTGAGCACCGACTTAGTGCCAGGCCCTGTGTCGGGCCTTGGGGTACCAGGGTGAACAATTTGGTCCTGACTCCAAGCTGAAGGAAAGTGGAGACCCCCTGACTTGAAGTCTGGTGGTGGCTTGGTCCAGCTGAGTGTACTGTCTGCAGACTGAGGGGAAGGGCCTTGGCTGAGGTGGGATGGTGTCTAGGAAGAGTTGACTTAACAATGTCTTTCCCGGCTGGGCACAGTGGCTCGTGCCGGGTAATCCCCACACTTTGGGAGGCCGAGGTGGGCGGATCACAAGGTTAAGAGTTTGAGATCAGCCTTTGTAACACGGTGAAACCCCGCCTCTACTAAAATACAAAAAGTTAGCTGGGTGTGGTGGCGGATGTCTGTAATCCCAGCTACTCGGGAGGCTGGGGTGAGAGAATTAGTTGAACCTGGGAGGCAGAGGCTGCAGTGAGCCGAGATTGTGCCACTGCGCTCCAGCCTGGTTGACAGAGCAAGACTTGTCTCCAAAAAATAAATAAATAAATAAAAGTCTTTCCCTGTTGCAGACCCCCCACCCAACCTGCCCTACTTTGTACGACGCTCTCGGATGCACAACATCCCTGTCTACAAGGACATCACGCATGGCAACCGCCAGATGACTGTGATCCGGAAGGTGGAAGGGGACATCTGGGTAAGTGGGTGGGTGGGGCTGGGGCTGGGCCTGACCCTTTCAGGGCTCAAGGGACAGGAGTCCTTTCAAGGGGAGGGACTCTTGGCCTACCTGATTTGCTATCTTCCCCCAGGCTCTGCAGAAAGATGTGGAAGATTTTCTGAGCCCACTGCTGGGGAAGACACCCATCACCCAGGTCAATGAGGTGACAGGTACCCTGCGGATCAAGGGCTACTTTGACCAAGAGCTTAAAGCCTGGCTTTTGGAGAAAGGGTTCTGAGGCCCAGCCGAACAGCCTGCATGACAGCATCCCCTGCAGATTGAGCCTAGGGGGCCAGGGAGGTGGATGTTGGAGCCCTTGGCACTGCAGATACAAAAACTAGGGCTAAAGGACTTTGGGGTGAGGCCTTGCTTGCATAAAGGAGAAAACTGGACCCTACGTACATGCTGGGAGAAGAGTGCCTAACGCCGCAGACCAAATAGGAATCAACCAGGCTTGTTGGCATTAGCAGCTGTCTCTCCTACCTTGGCCTGTTTTTTTGTTTTTGTTTTTTTTTTGACAGTGTCACTCTGTCGTCCAGGGTGGAGTGCAGTGGCGCGATTTTGGCT